GTTCACTCAGCACAGACTTGGCCCTGATGTGTGGGGTTACAGTCCCGATGGTGCAGGACTAGGCTCATCTCCTTATAAAATGTCAAGAGTTTTCTGTAGGCAAAATCTACAGTTTCTCAAGGCTCCCCCACACTGATGCTCTATTCTGTCAGCTCTTCATGTCTGCAGGCAGACAGTTCTACCTTTGTGTGATTGTGCTATCTCTGGAAAGATAGCAGCATCAGGAGTTCCAGGAAAGTTTGGATAATACAGCAGTAACCAGCTGAATGGAATTGCAGCACGGAGTCACAGAAGGGTAGGGGATGGAAGGCTGCCAGGTTCCACCTCCTCTGTGTTTCTTTCTCATGCACGCTGTCATTCTGCCTGGAGCTGTGTCCTAAATATCATGAGGCTGTGCAGGGAAGAATATAGAAGGGACAAAGCCCAGCTGGAGTTCAATCTGGCTATTACTGTCAAAGACAATAAAATCTGTTTATTTAGATACTTTATTTAAAGGGGAATTAAGGAGAATCGTCATCCTTTATTGGATGTGAAGGGAAACAGAGTTACAAGGGATGAGGAAAAGGCTGAGGTACTTAATGTCTTCTTTGCATCAGCCTTTGGCAGCAAGATTGGTTCTTCTCCCGATACTCAGGTCCCTGAGATGGTAGATAGGGACATGGAGCAGACAATGGGTGCACATCTTTCCCACTTCTTCACTCTCCCTTTCCCCTTCACCTCCCCTTTCTCTTCCAGGCTAGTTACAATAGCTGTTCAAAGTTCTGAATATCCTTGGGATAGTCAAACCAACATGTTCCTGTTGTTATTGCTCCTGAATATGTTTCAGCTTTTGTTTAAGGTCAAAGAACTACTTAAGAATGCTATGAAGAGATCTTCCCAGAGGCAGGAGAGTGAGGAGTGTCAGGGAATGTGGGAAGATCTGGGCAGGCACCTAGAGCAGTTAACTGCAGTGGAAGCTGAAATGAGTCTAATTGGGAAGGCATTGGAAAAACACCTCTGTGAATCCTTGGCATAGACTACCTTAGAAGAGGGTACTTCAAAGATCCAAAAGGGTAGCTGTGGGGCTTTGACATAGCTGCCTTGGAGAGAGAGAACATTAAACAGTTGTCTACCTGCCCTGGTCTCTCACAGGACCATTCTGTTGCAGGATTGATGAAGGCTGAAGAACAGCAGGTGCTGCAGTGTGCAGGCCACTCTTGCAGGGACATCCAGTCCACCTGGAACTGACTGCCCCAGGGGTAGAAACACAGCCCTACCATTTGCCATGGACTCTTCCAGATTGCCATGGAGCAGGGGGAAGCTCCTAAACAGCAGCAATGCATTGATGACATCATCATGTGGGGCAACAGAGCAGAAGTTATTTTTGAGAAAGGGAAGAAAATAGTTCAAATCCTTCTGAAATATGGTTTTGCCATAAATGTTAATTTAATTTAGTCAAGGGACCTCCACAGGAGATCCTGACACAGGCTGGCCAGGGTTAGGGGGACTGCTGCTCAGGGATGGGATGGGCATCTCCCATTGGGTGGTGAGTAATTGTACTGAGCATCACTTGGTTTGTAGATATCATCATCATCATCATCGTCGTCTTATATACTTAATATTTATTACTAATATTAATTATAGTAATAATATTTTCCCTTCCTTTTCTTTTAATCAAACTGTCCTTTTCCCAACACATGAGCTTTAAACTTTTTTGGTACTGAACCTCTCTTATTTCACTGGGGAGGTTGGTGAGTGAACAGCTTTGTTCCTGTCGTCTTGCAGCTGTGTTCCTTTCGTCTTGCAGAAGGACAGAAATAGCCCATATGCAGGTCTTCTTCCTGGCTGGGGCCTACCAGACACTTAAGCAGAGGGGATCCCACAATCAACATGCCAACCGGGCAGCTTCCACTGGCCTGACAGGGACACTGGGCAGATGAGAGCCTAAAAGTACGGATCCCAGCCATGAGTTGACCTGTCAGCTCCTTCACAACCATGTTCCTCCTGTGGGCCTATGAAAAACTTGAGACACAGCTGAGCTCCTCACAGCATTTCTACTCATCTCCTCCTTGTTGCCTGCAAGCTGATCAGATACATGCCACCTCACATTCATCTTTGAATGATGTGTGAATGCTCAGCAACTTCGCCATTCCGGACAATATGGCAAACAGTTTAAGTAGATGAGGAGATGAAGTTGAGGTTTTTAGATCCTGGGAACTGGAATATTGGTAGTTCAGTTTCCAGGTTAGGGTTTAGGACTCAGGGCTTAGGGTTTAGGGTTTAGGGTTTAGGGCTTAGGGCTTAGGCTTGCCTGAGGGCTAGGATTAAATAGAGCATTTCTATCCTAGTGATAAGGACAGAGATTAAGGTGAGCAAGAAGTTAATGTTATGGGCTTATGGGTTTGAGCTTTGGCTTCAAGGAAAGGTTTGAGGTTAAGCGGGAGAGTAGTGGATTACAGTCAAGGGGAGGAGTAGCAGTTAGGGGTTAGAAACAGGGTAAGAGCCTAACAGGAATGTTTTCAGAGTCAGTGTTGCAGTAGCATCAACATTACCTGAACCCTCTTACCTCTTCAGAATTGGTAGTTTCTTCTGCTCAAGGTCTCCTGGTCAAGAGGTCCCTTCTTCCCTCCCCCAGATCACACACCTCTCCTGCCCAGGCTTCTCCTGACTTCCCCATATCAGCTATCTTCGTAGGGGGAACTTTCTGATAGCTTTTATGATCTCAGAGTATCTTTCTAACCTCTGCTGGCTACTCCATTCCTGATACAGAAGTGGCATTGTAGTCAGGAGGGTGAAGGGCACAAAGTTCTGTAGGAGCACCCTGCACAACGTATCTAGCAGCTCTGCACCACCCCAAAAGTGCCCTTCCTACCCACCAGCTTTGGATCTAAAATGGCTCCTACAGCTCCTGGGTAACTTTTCACAGGCTATCAAGCACGCTTCAGCTCCCCCCAGGCACTTTGGAGGCAGTGGTCACCTTTGTGTGGAAATCTGAAAGAAGCCACATTTTTTAGGAAAAGGATGAACCCTCTGACATGTGACCCTTTATCCAAGACCTCTTCCTTTATGGGGATTACCAGATACTTACGAGGAGAGGATCGCACAAACTACATTCATCCAGGTGCTTTTGCCAGCCTTTCAGATAGGTACACTGGCAGATATGAATGGCACAGATCCCAGCTGGCAGTCAGGAGGTGGCCTGTAGGCTACTTCAGAAAGAAGTCAACTCACAGTCCACTTCACAGACTTAGGACTGCATTAGGAATCTCTGAGGCACCACTGACGTCTTAATACCATACCTACAAAACAGACCCTTTTGGCCCAGGACCTGCCCAGGTAGAAGTGAGCTGGTTGTGATCCTTCCGGCCCATGGCACTGCTGCTGGACTCCCAGCCTCTCTGAGGCACAGGAGCCAGTTCCGTGCCAGTTCTGGGAGTTGCTAGGGCAGGAGGGACCTTGCAGGCAATGTCCGAGCCCCATGCCTGTTGGCAGTCTCTCAGCTCCTTGCACACAGTGAGGATCACACTCAAGTCCAGAAGCTGCGTGCCTGAAGCTGGCCTAGAAGACACTCAGAGGGAGCTCCGAGCCCCAGCTGCAGCTGGCGGTGCTGCTCTGCAGACCGAGGGGGCTGTGGTGCCTGCTACCCCTACTCCCCTCTGCCTGTGCTGCTCAGGCTGGGCAGAAGACCCAACTCACTGGGGATATCTTCTGTTGAGACCCTTTCAATCTACCCTGATGGCTCAGTAGCACAGGACAGTGCTTGGCAGGACCATAGGGTGTCTCTAAGGGCAAAAAAATGACATGGTTTAATGGATGATCCTGGCGGTAGGGGAATGGTTGGACCAGATGATCTTGGAGGTCTTTTCCAACCTTACTGATTCAATGAATCTGTGATAAGGGCACAAAGGGCAGGCAAGTGCTGCACTCAATCCAGATTGCGGGGTTTCAAAGAAACTGTCCTGAACCACACTTGACTCTTGGATACCTTTGCCTGCTGGCTCCTCACAACCGCTCTGGGCACTGCAGAGCCCTCCATAGCCCATGGGCTCCTCATGTTCTCCTTTTTCTTTGGGATACTCTACATTGGATGGTCACTCATTAGATGAAGAAACACTCAGTGCCCACACAATCTCACAAATTCTTCCTCTCCAGATTGCTCTCCAGGATGCCATTTACCATCAGTCCCAGCACCAGTTGGACAGTACCAGGCAGGAAAGTCAAAGGCCAGTTACAGTTTACTGGGCCATGTGCAACCAAGAAGGATACTCTCAGTTCAGCCCTCAGTCCTTCACTGATCACTCTGGGACTCTGATCCATGGTGAAGCCCAGAAGCAAGTGGCCTGTTCAGGGAGCAGCACCTTGGGTGTGTTCTTGACACCAGCATTAGAAGAGGTGCATAGAGATGCCACTGCAGAGACAATAGGGCTGTTGCCAAAGCATATGAGATCTTAGGAGTAACACATAGGCAGGGGCACAAAGGAAGAGCTTGGAAGTGAATGGGGAGCAGCATGGAGAAGGTCTCATCCTGCTTCTGGCCATAGCTGTGTCTCCAGGGAAGCAGCAGCCCCACCCAAAGGCAGCAGAGCCCAGCGGGCAGTGAGGGGAAGCCCTGAGGGACACTGGGGCTGCTCCTCCACGTGGCAGCTGGGCTCTTGGCCCCTGAGCCCCTCCTGTGTGCTGGAGCTGCTCCTCCAGCTGCAGGGAAGATTGGAAAAAGTGGCAGCTGAGACCAGTGAATTTCTGATGGCTTATTTTATTTATTTACACTGAAAGATTGGTTCTTTAAGTATGATTGGGTCAAATAAACTATAATGAACAACAGGTAGGATGATAAAAATAAACTTAATCTTCTCTAAAAAAAAAAAATCTTTTTCAAGATTTTCATTTCTCTGAGAAATCCTGCCTGTCTTGTTAAGATGATGGTCACGTTTCTGATGCTTAAGAAGCAAGAATGTAAATAATTTCCTTAAGGTATCCTTCAGTTCCAGGTTCCTCTTGCTGTAGATGAGGGGGTTCACTACTGGAGGCACCACTGAGTACAGAAGAGACAAGACCAGGTCCAAGGATGGGGAGGAGGTGGAGGGGGACTTGAGGTAGGCAAACATGGCAGTGCTGACAAAGAGGGAGACCACAGCCAGGTGAGGGAGACAAGTGGAAAAGGCTTTGTGTCGTCCCTGCTCAGAGGGCATCCTCAGCACAGCCCTGAAGATCTGCACATAGGAGAAAAGAATGAAAACAAAACAACCAAATAAAAAAGAAACACTAAACATAAGTGCCCCAACTTCCCTGAGGTAGGCATCTGAGCAGGAGAGCTTGAGGATCTGGGGGATTTCACAGAAGAACTGGTCCAAAGCATTGCCTTGGCAGAGGGACAGGGAAAATGTAATGGCAGTGTGCAGCACAGCATGGAGAAATCCACTGCCCCAGGCAGCTGCTGCCATCTGGGCACAAGCTCTGCTGCCCAGGAGGCTCCCATAGTGCAGGGGCTTGCAGATGGCAATGTAGCGATCATAGGCCATGAGAGTAAGGACTGAAAACTCTGCTCCAGTCAAGAAGGCAAAGAGAAAGACCTGTGCAGCACATCCTTCATAGGAGATGGCCCTGGTGTCCCAGAGGGAATTGGCCATGGCTTTGGGGAGAGTGGTGGAGATGCAGCCCAGGTCGAGGAGGGCGAGGTTGAGGAGGAAGAAGTACATGGGGGTGTGGAGGCGGTGGTCGCAGGCTACAGCGGTGAGGATGAGGCCGTTGCCCAGGAGGCAGCCAGGTAGATGCCCAGGAAGAGCGCGAAGTGCAGGAGCTGCAGCTCCCGTGTGTCTGCAAATGGCAGGAGAGGAACTCACTGACAGAGCTGCTGTTGCATTTGCTGGTTCTGTCCATGGGGTCCTGCAGAAAGGAGCAGAAAGCTGGTGATAATTAACCATAGAGTTAATTCCTTAGAGAAAAGCAATTTCCATTCCTTATTTAAGCACTCCAACGTACTTCCACACTTCCAGGCAGATATTTGGCAGGTCTCTTTCATGTGGCCTGATTGATGCTACCTGAGGGTGCCTCTGGGAGCATGGGACTCTGCTGTGGGCAATGCAGGCGTCACCCCTGCTCTACAGAAATAAGTAAAGAGCAACATGGGCAATCTCAAATTAAATTCACTTCTGATATATGAAATTTTCCACTTTGTTGTTCCCAGTTTACCCATCTGTGGTGGAGGGTTGATGGGAAATCTTTATTGTGTTTTCATTCCTTTTCATTCATACTCAGAGGCAAAAGACTGTCCCTTAAGTGTGGACTGTCCTTCAGAGAGGACAGCCAGCCTGTCCATAAAGGCTGGTCTCTTCTGCTGGCATCTCCTTGAGCTTCAGACAATTACATTCACCTGAAAAAAAATCATGACACTGCTGAAAGCAGAAGAATCTAGGCTCAAAGGGCACATCTCCAGACACCGTACCCTGTCCCCATACTCTACTTCCCCCAAGCACACCGAGGGCTCACTCCATGTGCATGTGAAACCCCCATCCCCAGCCAGCCTGCAAACAAGAACAGCAGCAGCACGGCCAGGTGGAGAAGCCAGGAGGAATGCACCTGCTGCTGCCAGGGGAGGCAATGCCAGGGAGGGACAGCTCACCAGGAGCTGTTTCTCTGTCCCCATGTCTCCTCCCTGTCCACACTCACAGACCCCATTCCACAAGCTGTATGCTCAGCTTTGCTCTATAGAGGACTCCTGGAGACAGGCACTGTCCATGAGCATCACAGAGGATGCAGCTCCTAAAGATCAGCTCAGGTAAGCCCTGAAGACACCATAAACATGATATTGCTGTAGTCTGTATGCTGAGATGTGGGAAGAGAGTATATAGACTCATCACTTCCATATTGATCTCTCAGTGCAATGCTCCAGGAGTCCCACTCTTCTGTACAATCCTGACAACCCATTACCATGAAACCTGCCTTCCCTCCACAGCAGGAATCTGAAAACAGACTACATAAAAAGCCCTCTGCTTCAGATAAACCAAGCCTTCATCTTCCTCTTGAGATTTCCCCTCATAAATGCCATTCTCTAAAGCATCTTCTACTAGACAGAGGAAGAGTCACCTCAACAGATGCTATCAGGCATCAGTTGTGCCAGCTGTAGAAGACCCCTTTGGCAACTGCATCTGCATTGCCCTGCTTCCAGACTCACCGTGTCAAGCGCCTGCAGATCTGTCCTGCCACACGCTGCCCTCTGCTGTTGCGCTCCTTGCTGCCTCCAACCCCTCTCTCCTCTCCTCTCCCAGTGCCACCTGCAGTCAGAGCCCCCAGCCCTGCGTGCTGTGCAGAGGAGCTGCTCCTGGGCAGAGCTGTCTCTCTGCAGCGCCAGGAGTTCCCTGCAGCACAGGAGCCCAGCCCAGCTCAGCAGCACAGCACCTGACCATGATATCAACTGCTCTGTCCCACTGGGCTCCCTCGAGATGTCCTTTGTCTCCCCACAAACCTCCTTGGAAATGCACCAAAGCAATCACTGATATTCCCTCCCTCAGCTGCTGGGAGACTTCTTTCAATCTGTGTCATTCCTCCGGCCAGGGACAGAGCTGGGTATGTGAAACCCCTCCCCTTGTCCCATCACAGGGAGGACAGCTGGGCAGTGGCAGGCAGGGATCTCTGTACCCCTGCTGAGGGACGGGATTCAGCTGAGGCCATTGAGGCATCTCATTTGGGGTCTGTGGTCCTGGGGCTGGAAAGGGGCTCATCTCCTTCCATCCACACTTGATCTGGGCATTCCCCTTGATAGTTCTGCTGGGCACAAAATCCCCTTGTCCTGTGGTAAAGGATGGAGATGGAGAGCAGCAGGGAGTGGTTTGGATGGAAGCACCTGGCGACATCTCAGGTGCCACAGCTGCTCCAAGATATCTCCGGGTATCTGAAAGATCCAATGCAATAACTCTGGGAGTCAGGGCCACATCTGAGGATATCCTCTATGATCCTGCTGGAAAATCCCGTTGGCCAAGGGAAATGAAAGCAAAAGGTTGCAATATGGATAATTTAATTAAAGGGAAAATGAAAAAGGAACACCAAACTAAACCAAACCAACCAACCAAAACCAACCAACCAAAGAAAGAAAGAAACAAACAAACACCACCACCATCAACAAAAAAGCAAAGGCCATGTGGCAGCACAGAGATTGATGAAAGAAATAAAGAAATTATTCTCTAATTCCCATCAATGAATGATGTTAGGACACCTCCCAGGAGGCAGGACTTCAATACACATAGCAGTTGTTTGAAAGGATGAACGTTTTTATAATGAGAGTCTTTTCCCTCCTATTAGTGCTGTTTTCATAACAAGAGCCCTTTCCCACATTTTATTGCTGTGTGACATTATATGGTATGGAATATCCCTTTGGCTGGTCTAGCTCAACTGCCCTGGTGATGTCCCCTCCTCACCTCTTGCCTACCCCCAGCCTGATGGCTCTTGGGAAGGGGTTAGAGTGAATCCTTATACTGTGCCAGCATTGCTCAGCAGTAGACACAACACTGCTGTGATACCACTGCTGTTCTAGCTACAAGTGCAGAGCACAGCACTGTATGGGCTGCTGCAGGGAAAGTTAACATCCCAGCCAGACCCAGTACACAACGTAAGGGTGAATTATGTATAGCTCAATAGGCCGATGACACCTGTGGTGGTTTTACCTTGCTAGACAGCTGAACTCCACCACAACCACTCTCTCACTTCCTCGCGTCACAGAAGAGAGGAAGAAGAAAAGGAAAGAAACAAGTAACAGTTGAGATAAGAATAATTAATAATTAATAATCAAAGGAAAAAATGTATTCTATTACTATTAAGGGAAAATTATTACTAATTAAACAATTTAACTAAAGGAAAAAAAAAAAGGAAAAAGGAAAAGGAAAAAAGAAAAAAGAAAAAGAAAACAAACAAAATCACTAGCAAAGCCTGTGCAGAAGTGCAGAGGAAAGAAATTACTCTCTACTTCCCACAAATAAGCGATGCTTGACCTCGTCCTTGAAGCTGGGCCTCAAAGCACATAGCTGTTGCTCAGGAGGACAAACAGTTTTCACAAGAGCCCACCCTCTCCCATCTTCTTCATTTTTCCACCTTTTATTGCTGAGTAGTGATGTCATACAGTATGGAATATCCTTTTGCTTGGTTTAGGTCAGCTGCCCTGGTGATATTCTTTTCTCACTTTTAGCAAGGGAGGCCTTGGGCTGGGCCTCTGCTGCTGAGCTGGGCCGGGCTCCTGGGCCCAAGGGGAGCTCCTGGCAAGCGGGCAGCGCTGCAGAGAGACAGCTCTGCCCAGGAGCAGCTCCTCTGCACAGCGCAGCAGGGCTGGCGGCACTGCCTGCAGCTGGCACTGGGAGGGGAGAGAAGGGAAAGAGAGGTTATGGGCTGCATGGAATATGAGAGAACTAAGAGCTCAGAGGAGGAGAAATCTTGCTAGCACATAACACGGTAAGTCTCTTTATGCAGTGCATTGCACATGAGTATCAGGGAAGATTTCCAGACTGAGTACTTCCCATAGAAGATAAGGTCAGATGCACTTGGTATTTCTTTAGTGTGGAAAAGCACAAGCTCCAGCCAGGGGTTCCCTGCCATAGGGTCATTGTCCAGTCCCAAGGGCTCCCTTGTCGCAGGCTGGCTGCAGGCTGTGAAGCCGGGGTGCAGACAGGGGTGTCCAGGGCTGTGGTGCAGAGCAGGGTCCCTGCTGTGGCCCAGGGGCTGTGTGGCGGGGCAGGGCCTCTGCCGCCTGCCAGGCTCAGCACTCAGCCTGCCCGGGGAGCTGCCCAGGGCGCTGGGGAGAAGCTGCGGGTGGAAGGAGCCCCCCTGGCAGGGCAGGGTCCTGCTGCTGGTGGGAGGCTGCTGCCTGGGGTAGCCTGCTCACAGCTGCACAACAAACCAAGGCAATTTCAAAGGGAACTTCACTCTCATCTTTCCTTAGCCTCTGCTTTCAGTTTTCTCTTCTTTTGGCTCACTAGGAATAGAAATAGAAGCTGTTATTTCCTGGAAGAGCCTAAGACTCATACACCACCAGAAGGAGGTTTAGAAGAATCTCCAGAAACTCTTTCCTGCCTCTCAGCCCATAGAAAGCTCCACCACCACTCGTGCAGTGTCAGCAGGGTCTGTGTGACCTGGGCTCTTGGACCTGCCCCCACCGAGCTGCCCCTGGGCAGAGCCCTGCTGCCAGGAGGTGTCTGCAGGGCAGAGCTGAGCACCCAGTGGGTGGGATGGGGGCTGTGCTGAGCTGCAGGCAGGAGGCGTGGGGACAGAGACCCAGCTGCAGGCAGGGACAGCTGCAGGCAGCAGAGCCCTGGTCAGGGAGTGAGAGGGAGCTGCTCCAAGAAAATTTATGGCAGGGGGGATTTGTGTACTTCCCTCCCATCCCTGAAGCGCCAACGCCTTCTCACAAACTTCTTGGCTACTTTTCTCATCCAGCCATGTCATGGAAATTTTAACACGAGTTTCTTTGGAATCCCTAGATTTTGGGGATGAAAATTCATCTGGAGCTCAAAATCTGATGATGATGTTCCTAAGTGTT